CTACGATTACCTGCTCAAGTTCCTGCTGGTGGGCGACAGCGACGTGGGGAAGGGGGAGATCCTGGAGAGCCTGCAGGACGGCGCCTCCGAGTCCCCCTACGCCTACAGCAACGGTAAGGGGGACTGGGGGGAGCCGGGCCGCGGGACCCCCATCGCTGTCACACCCCTGTCACTGTCACCTCTCCCCGCCATGGCTGACACCCGCATCCCGCGGGGATCCCTGATGGCCGTACCCCAGCGCCGAGCTGGCGGGCAGGGAGGGGTTGTTTTGCTTTTTCCTTTGTTTTTTTTTTTTTTCATTAACTGGGAGCGCAGCGCGTGGCAGGCAGCTCAGAGGCCTCCTCAGCTCCTTGAAATGCCCCAAATCTGAAGGAGAATGTGGGCAGAGGGTCTGGTGTCTGATCTAATCCCTGGATGCGCAGGGGGACCCTTCCCAAGCGGTCCCGCTCGCAGGGCAGGGCTGCCCTGCCCGTCCTCGGCTGCCACAAGGACCGAGCCGTTCCCAGAGGAAGCAAGGGCTGTAACAAAAGAACTGGAGCCTGATCCCCAGCCCGGAGCCGCTCTGGCTCGGTGGCTGTACCGGGAGCGATCGGGTTGGCTGATCCACCTCCAGCCAGCGTCGAGGTTCCTAATGGAGCCCACGACAGACCATTATAACTACGGTATCACAAGACCATAATTAAGAGCCAAGGAGTAGCGCTGTGCATTTCTTGCAGTTATAGTGTAGCACGGCCTGGCGGGGGTGCGGGTCCTGCTGTGGGTTTCAATCTGTCATCCTTCCACCTCCTCCGTGCATAATAACATCCCAAAGGGCTCAGACCGTGCATCATCACTGCAGCCCAGGGCAGGAGCAGGTGGTGCCGAGTTTTGACTGTATCAGGAACCCGAGGGAATCGGGAGCTCCTTGGTGCTCTGCACTGGCCAAATTCGGAGCTTTCAAAGCGGTGTGGTGCCGACCACACTCTGTCCTTGTAGCTACCACCAGCTCCCTAGGAGCTGATGCAAGTGCACACTTGCTCCACGGAGATTTACGGGGAGGTGGTGACTCACAAGTGGAGCTGCCTGTGAAATGGGAGCAGCGCTTCAGGAAGGAGAAGGCTTTGGTATCGTTCATCTCCTCGGGTGTCTGGCTGGGCTGGTGTGGTTTGCCTTCGAGGAGGTGCTCTTTAGAGCTTCCCTGAAGAGAGTTTGTGTTTCTGGAGAACCTACCTCGCCTGGGAGCTGTGGAACTGCTCAGTGGGTTTGGTGTTTACAATGCAGAGTGTAACGGGGTGGCTGTTCTAAGTGAAGTGTTACAGTTGGAATTGTCTCCTGGTTGAAGTGGGATTGAAGCAGACAGGGTAGGAATAAGGAGTGAGTTAAGTGGGATCTTTGGTATAAGCATGAAACCTCAAGAGAAGGAATTTTGGTCACAGCTTTAGACCTTTTGTCTTAGAGCTCACTGTTTTGTAGCAACTAAATACCAGCGTCTTTTTGTTGGAAAAAGAAATCTCAGTGAATAATTTCAGAACCTTCCCTTGTCCTCTGTGGACAATTGAGCCCATTCCTAATTAGACAATTAGGTCACATTCTGTTGTTTCACAGTAATATATGCTCCGATAGTCTCTGCTTCTGTTGATTCTGGGAAGCGACACACCTTTAGGATAATCAGCTGGAGTGGCTTTGGTATCCAAGTGAATTTGATCCTGCTGATGCTGCTGACAGCCTTGGCAGTGGAACTCCTTGTGTCTCTGGCAC